CAGAGAGGAAAGTTGCCTAAGTGAATTTCAAACACTTAGAAAATTTTTTGAAGAAAGAAAATGCGAAAGAAAAGGCAAGCACCCGGGTGCGCAACACACGGGTTCCTTCATCGACCACACCGCCCAAATTGGCCGACAACGGTAGTAAGCAGAGAAAACTACATGGCCCAACACTTAGAGAAATCTCCAAAGTATTGAATAACGAGGGGAGAACCTCAAGATGAAGCGGGCACTCAAACACTTGCAGGTGCCCGCCTCGGCCCAAGCCACGAGCGGTAGTTATCTATGTTCTGGTTTGACACTTAGACAAATTTCAAAATTGAAATAACGAAAGCAATAAGCATAAACATTCAAAGCCGAAGGGGACAGAAGCACGATTCATTCAGTCAAAAGGCTAAGTTACATAGGAGGGCGCTTCAGCCGTTACATTCAGATGGGCAAAACAAAAACCTATTACTAATTACAAGGCAAAATAAATTATAACCGATCAAGCCTCCTGAGCGCCCTCACCGGCAGCCTCACCTGCGACGCTCTGATCAACGATGAACCCGACATCATCCTCGGCCTCGACATCTAAGTCGGCCTCTACAACGGAAGTGGCGGTATCGGCCAGGACATCATCCTCACCATAGTCTGGTTCGCCGAGGCCAAAGCTTTCTATCGGAGCCTGCCTTTCAGAAGGGGAAAGTTTGACTTGCTCCTCCGGATCCTTCATCAGCTTAGGAAGCTGCAGGTTCCGCCTGGCCCACCCCTGGGTGTAGTTCAACGCTTTGAAGGCACGACTCAGTCGCCGATAGAGGAGCCGTTGCATCCGATGTTGGCCCATGTTGTAATAAACAGACATTTCACACTCAAAATACTCTTGGCCGACAGGGGAGTTTTGCCCCCAATCCTCGAGCTTGGCCGCCACGACCTCATAACACCAGGGCAAGCGCTCGTCGGCTTTCCAGCCCTCGGCCAGGAACTTCTCAACAGCAGCATCAGCGGCCTTCACCGCTGCAGCCTCGGCTTCGGCTTTTGCTTTCTCAGCATCATCGGCGCGTCAGCAATCAGCCTCCCGGACATCCCTCTCTTCAGCGAGCTTGGTCAGGGCTTTGTTCCTGGCTGCATCGGCCTCGTCGGCCCTTTTCTGCAAGGCCGCGAAGTTCTCTCGCAACCTGTCCAAGCAGCTCATGGCCTCATCGACCGAAGCTGCCTTCTGCTCAAACTCCTTCAAACGGGCAATCTCCCGTCGCAACAAGGTCCATCCCCCGTCGTATATCTTGACATCGCCGAGCTTGTCAAGATAAGTCTGGTCCTTGACCGGGATGGCCTGGGAGAGCACATCATGGCCGTCAACGCCATCGTTGAAGACACCCCCGTCCTTGGGGTACTCGACCTCAATCTTATAGGTGGCCGTAGCCACCTCATTGCCGGACCGCTTCGGCCGGGGCCCCTGGTCGAGGGAGAGGGGTTGAGAAACACCGCCGGAGAGACCGGAGGTAAGATCCACAATGGCAACAGCAGCACCGGATCCCCCTTCATCCACAATTGGGACGGTCAGAGCGCCGACCTCGTCGGCAACAGAGGAAGGCGAAGCCTTCTTGGACTTCTTGGCAGGTTGCATGCCGGCCTCAGTCAGCTTTTTTTGGGAATCATCCACCGGCCGCTTTTTCTTTGGCTAGGGGGTGGCTTCTTCGGCACATCACCACTTACCGCCGCCTTCGCTGCGGCCTCCTTGGCGGTCAGCTCCGCCTTCGCCTTTGCGGCGGCCTTATTCATCACAGACCGACGATCCATCACAAAGTCTACAGCAAAGGAAAATAAGTTAGCAAAGTAAAAGAACAAAACGAAACAAGGACGCTGGAGGAAGTATTAGCATCAGCTTCGGCAGGGACGCCCAGATCTGGGCCGTCGGCCTCCTCAAAGGTAGTGGTCATCCTCGGCCACAGTTGGACGCCCTCCTCCTTGTCACCATACACGAAGTATCTAAAGAAGCCGATAGCGGTCATCTTGTACTCCGTAATGTAATCCTTCACGCTCCTCGCCCCCCCCCCCCTCAAGGAACACCTCCACCTGAGCGTTCAGGATCGAACTCTTCGGCGGATCATGGAGATTGAATCTCCCATCATGGCCGACGGAGGGGAATTCAGTGCCACCCTCGCCCAGGGACACGAAGACAAATTTGCTCTTCCAACCATGTATGGACGAAGGCAAGTCCGTGAAAGTCCTCCTCTTCGGCAGCTGCTGCAGAGTGGCGTAGCAGGCACAATTTTTATGGCTCCCTCGGCCAATCTGATAAAGGTTCATGAACAGGGCCGTCGTCGGCTTGTAACCCAATTCAGCACAGCGGAGGAGGAACCCCACCATCAACGAGTAGCTGTTTGGGGTCAACAAGGCCGGAGGGAGTCCCACCATGTCCAGGCAATCCTTGATGAAGGGGTGAAGGGGAAACCTTAGCCCCTTGGCGAAGCTCATCGGATAGACTCCAAAGTATCCCGGCGGCGGATTGAGCACGTGGTCCGTCGGCCTAGGCGCCCTAACCCTCCCAAATGGCCCCACGTACATCTGGGCGACCAAGTAATCAACAGCGCTACTCTCCGGCTTGATGAGGAAAATGTTAGTGAGGTCCAAGTAAGAGAAACTCGGGCCCTTCTTCGGCCGCCTGTTCCTCTTCGGCCGCAATGCTCCCTTCACAGCAGACACCGGCTTCGGGCATAGAATGGTAGTAGAGGTAGACGCCCCGTCCATTACACGGGAGACCCCTGCGTCCTCACCTTCAGATGACGAGGCGGACTCCTCGTCCTCGCCCTCCTCGTCCATATGATCTCCAGACTTATAAGGGCTCAGATGTTCAATCTCCTCGGCACACTCTTCGATCACTTCGTAGTCAAGAGACTTAACGGAGGGCTCGTCGTCATACGGGTAGTACTCCTCGTTCAGGGTTTTCATCTTAACAACTCCTAAGACACTAAGGGGATCTACTTTAGATCTAAGGCGTTTTTGTGACTAACACTAGATCAAAGTCTAAAGGAAGCAAAATATGTAAGAAATCGAAGAAAACTTGAGGAACTGACCTTGAAGTTTTGAGGGAGGTGAAGAACACTCGCAAAAGACTTTATCTCTCTAGAAGAACCGGGCAACACTTCGTTAGCTAAAAACGCAAATGGGCGGGCTCCTTCGGAAGAGAGGGGTATTTATAGACCTCCCCCCAACGGTCACTACACGTGGCACCACCCTAGTGGCTACACCAACGGTCACCACCTCCAAAGCCAATGAGGTGCTACCCCTTTGACAGCGGGCCAGGCCCACGAACCAGCCCAATAGTGAGGAAAACCCTACGGTTCACGCGGACAAATGACGCCCACAACGGCCACACACACTCCACGGCCACACATGAGCAAGGCATGTATCCGCATACGGCCCCCGGGGATGAAACACCCCTCGGTGCCAACAAACTCCAGCAAGAGCCCGTAACGGCCAAGGCATCCAATAACCCCGATTACAGCAACAAGGACATGACAGCGGCTACGAGTATCATGCACGCACTTAACGGCCATAGAATCAAAGAAGTAAAGAACCCGCAGCCATCGGTCTACGTAACGACCCCCGATGATAGCCCTTTGCAAGTGATCTGCGCCCAAGGGTTCTCCCACAGGGTTACCTTGGCCAGAAAATTGCCAAAGGGTTGGATTCAGGGGCACTATGGAGATACCGCATCGGCCAGGGACTCAAACTACTTCTTCATCCCTCACACTCTTCGGCCTGAAGTAGTGGGGGACTGGGGGACTACATCGGCCTCAAGAATGGCAAGCAAAATGAGAAACAAAAATGCACACAAATGCAACTACAAGCGCGGCCACATCGTCCATGTACCACAACGATTCCAAAGTCCTCACAACCCCATCTCCGGCCAGACACTGCTATCGTCCCCAAATAAGGTGGGCAATATGGCGCCTCGTCGGCCAAAGGCACATGGTGTCATCAACGACGGCCAAAAGGAATGCACAGCACCCGCACCGGCCATCCAAAACAAAGGACACTCATCGTCCTCAAAACAAGACGCACCCTCAACGACCTCATCGGCCCAAAAGGGAAATTCAACCATCAACGATCAAGAAAGGATAGACACTACCTTCCTCGGCCACCCATGCCAGAACACTCACCGTCCACAAACAAGCGCACCAAAGGAATGACAGCATTCCCCGTCCACATCAAGGGGCAGATAACGGCCAAACTCAGAACAGGGCCACCAACGCCACGACAGAGAGCGGCCGAGTGGTCCCGCGTTGGCCAAGAGCATCAAGCACAAGAATCTACTCTCCTTCACTTCGTCTACATCTCAGCTTAGAGAGTGGGGGACTCCTGATGGAGTATATGGGTCTAGGCCCCAGGATCCACATACTCAGAAGAACAGAAAGTACAAGCCACTAAGTGGTGCCCTCGCCGGCCAAAGGACCCCCGTCGGCCGAAGAGGGAACAACTCAGGATATGATCCCGAAGCCAGGGAACTAGGGTGCCCCCGTCGGCCGTGCCCTCATCGGTCGTGCCCTCGTCGGCCAGACCCTCGTCGCCTCGTCGGCCACGGAAGCCTCACAGAACTAGATTTTACACTTATTCATTTGTATACTCCATCATTTACTTTGTATTCGGCCCAATAGTGGTCCAGTTGTAAATGGGCCTCCCAAGCCCAAGGCTTGGGAGCCCAACCCGTATTTTTCCTATAAATACTTCCTCTGTAGGTAGTTGTAGGGGTTGGAAAATCATTTATTGAAGCATTTACTTGTACTTCTCTCTCTAGCTCTCACCTCTCTCTAGAATATACTCTATCAAGAAGGTATTTCTTTTGAGATCTCTTTCAGAAGCTATTTGAGAAGTTATTTGTGAAGTATTTGTTAGATGCATGCTTATAGTCTAAATTTATCTATTGATAAATTGGCATAGACTTCTACACATTTTTGTGGATCCATACTGACTTACTAAGTGTAAAGTTTATCAGTTTTCTTTCTTCGCATGTACAGATACTAAGGGTAAGGCCAAGGCCTAGGAAGATGATGAGGGAGTGGAACACGTGCCAAGATGAGTTAACGGGAATGACCTTGGCAGCTTCTAGCTAGTTATTATTTTATTTCGGTATTTCAGTTGTTAGAATAAAGAGATTATTATTAATTAATTTATTTGAGGATATGAGGTTTGAATAAATTTCTGGATCCAGGTGGTTATCACATTTGCTGGTGATAACTAGATTTTATTGAGTTTTATTTGGAGTTATATTTTAGTTATATTTGAGATTTATCAGGGTTATTTCTTAAGCAAACGGCCGTTATATTGTAGTTTTTTTAAGTAGTAAGTTTATGTAGCGTTTCCTTTAACCCTGAGAGGGGCGTTACAAATTTGGTATCAGAGCCCAGGTTGTCCCGTAACTTCATTTGTCGCCGTACACGTGCTCATCATCTTCCAAGTAAGTATTTAAAGTTTGTTTTAAATTTCTGTGCATGAGCAAGAAGGGTTTATTAGATACAGAACAGAAGTGAGAATTTCTTGCCTTTTTGTATTATGTATGGCACATAAACAAAAGTTTATATTTGGGTGCCTTAAGAAAATGAAGAGAACCCGTGGTCGTCCAGTTGGTAGCAACAATGCGCGTGGAGACAATAATGAGCAAGGAAACAATCACGAGCAGGATTTGGCAGGTTTAGTAGCACAACTTCAGAGGCAGTTGCAGGAGCAGCAACAGACCATCGACCGTTTGACCGCGAAGAATCAAAGGGGCGATGGTGAAGGGGAAAATGCTGGGAATAATCAAGCTAGGGGGGACGGAGCACTGAGACAAGAAACTTTGATGATCACATGGAGGAAGATCAAGCCCGTGGATTTTGAGGGGGGTCCAGACCCTCTAGTTGCTCAGGGATGGCTGAAGACCATTGAAGACATTGCTAATGGTTTGGAGTTGTCAGACAATGACAAGGTTCGATGCGCATCTTACAGCCTCACCATGGATGCTCGAATATGGTGGGAGACTGTGGAAACAAGGTACCACATCGCGCAGATGACATGGGAGCAGTTCAAAGAGGAGTTCACCAACTAGTGTTTCAATGTTAGTGTCACATGTAGGTACCGGGATAAGCTTCAGAGTCTACGTTAGGGAACCATGGATGTTGCAACCTTGGCGACAAAATTTCAGAGGCTACTACGTATTTGCCCTACAGCTGCCCCGACAGAGAGAGATAAGGTGAGGATGTTCATGGCAGCTATTAGGAAGGACATAACAGTTCACTTGGAGAACGGTGATCAGGCCCCAGCTACACTAGTCGACTGTGTCCTTATAGCAACTCAAAAGGAGTACTGCATCTCCAACGATCCAGTGCCCGCTCAGCCGCAGTCTGTGCCTTCACAGTCACAGAATCAGTCACAGCGACACACGAACAATTCGAAGAGTAACAAGAAGAGAAACTTTATGGGAAATCATGGCAAGGGAGATGGTCACCATAAGGGACACCAGAATAAACAGATGAAGTTCCCGCCGTGTGCTAAATGTGGCCGTAACCATCCAGGCCAATGCATATGGGGTGCCAGAGGTTGCTACTCTCGCGGCCTTGAGGGCCACATATCCAGAGAATGTCCAAGAAAGAATCAACAAGGCTATCAGTTTGTCCAGACATCAGCGGTTGTCCATAATATGCAGGCTTATCTAGAAGGACCATCCATCCAGCAAGGACGTCTTGAGGCACCACCAGAGGCCCTGGTTGCTAGAGTGTTCACAATCTCGAAAGAAGAGGCATCGATAAATCCCGGTGTTGTCACAGGTCAAATACTTGTTCTTAATAGATATGCTAATGTGCTATTTGACACTGGAGCCACACGTTCCTTTGTATCTCTTGAGTTTGCTAGATCCTTAGCAACACATCAAGATAAGTTAGATTATAAATTCACCACATCACTTCCGTCGGGAGAGGTCATGTTGTTGACTCATTGGTTATGAGCAGTGCCAATGAGTATTGCAGGGAGAGAGTTATTTGTGGATCTGATCGTGCTCGACATGAGGGATTATGATGTGATTCTCGGCATGGATTTCCTGCAGAAGTATAGTGCTTCAATTATATGTCGAAAAAGAATTGTTAGTTTTGCGCCTACAGAGTCTGATCCATTCCTCTTCCTTGGGGAGCCAAAAGAATCAGAGAGGGTAATGATTTCTGCATTGCAAGCAAGGAAACTTATTCGGAGTGGATGTGAAGCTTTCTTAGCTCATATAGTAGACAAGAGCACTGGAGAACAAATTCAGTTATCTGAAATTCCAATTGTGGAGGATTACAGTGACGTATTCCCCGAAGACCTTCCGGTTTACCTAGGGCTGGTATTTTAGACCGAAAAACAAAAAACCGAACCGAAAAAAACCGAGCCGCTTTGAAAAAAAACGAACCGACCCGACCCGATTGAAAATGGGACTCGAAAATTGGGACCCGGTAAAAAAACGGTTCGGACTCGGTTTATATTCTTAAAAAGTCGGTTCAAACCGAACCAAACCGACATTTTTAGTAGAGTTAATGAGAATTAGAAACGTTATATTAATATTCCGATGTCTAAAGTGACAAACCATCCGTTCTGTCAAATTGGTCGCTGATGCGGTATCATACCCTAGAGGTTTAGGGATCGACTCCCTTAAGGGAATTTTTTTTGTTTGGACCTTGAATTTTCTTTCCAATGTCTCTTTGTCCCACACCGGACAAAAGATGGTTTACACTTCCAAAATTCTTTATATAAAGACATTTCAAGTTGGTTGAAGCTAATTGATAAGCTCCCAACCGATGGGCTTGTGTGATCAAATTAATATAAAAATCATAAACTTGTTTTGGGCTTTATTGTTTAAACTAGTACAATATTTATATTATTTTTAAATATTTCGGTTTTAATCGATTTCTGATAAACCGACCCGAAAAATTGGGTCCCGACTAATCGGTACCTGGCTGGTTCATGATCGGTTTCGGTTTTGATATTTAGTAAAACCGAAATGTCGGTTCGGTTTTCGGTTTGTACAGATTGGTTCAGGACCCAAACCGAAACCAGCCCTAAGTTTACCGCCGAGTAGAGAGATTGAGTTTGAAATTGAACTGCTGCCAGGTACTGCACCGATATCTAGAGCACTATATCGAATGGTCCCAATGGAGTTACAAGAACTCCACAAGCAGTTGCAGGAGTTGCTAGAAAAGGGTTTCATTCGGCCCAGTTACTCACCGTGGGGAGCTCCAGTATTGTTCGTGAAAAAGAAGGATGGCACAATGAGGTTGTGCATAGATTATAGAGAGCTCAATAAAATGGTTATCAAATAGGTATCCCCTGCCTAGAATTGATGACCTGTTTGACCAGTTGAAGGGAGCGGTGATTTTCTCCAAGATTGACCTTCGTTCAGGGTATCATCAGTTAAGAATCAAAGAAGGAGACATCCCAAAAACAGCTTCCAGGTCGCGGTATGGACACTATGAATTTGTGGTTATGCCTTTCGGCCTAACTAATGCTCCAGCGGCGTTCATGGATTTGATGAATAGAGTGTTCAGGGAGTTTCTTGACAAGTTTGTCACTATTTTCATTGATGATATTTTGATCTACTTAAGGTCCAAGGAAGAGCATGAAAAACACTTGATAGAAGTACCGGAGACACTGAGAAAACATAAGCTATATGCTAAGTTTTCAAAGTGTGAGTTCTGGCTTGATAATGTAACATTCCTTGGCCACATAGTTTCAAAGCAGGGAGTTTCGATGGATCCCTCAAAAGTAGCAGCTGTCCGAGATTGGAGCAGGTCGAAGAATGCGAAAGAAGTTCGAAGTTTCTTAGGCCTTGCAGGGTATTATAGGAAGTATGTGGAAGGTTTCTCTGCTATAGCTCTTCCATTGACTACCTTGACCCGTAAGGGTAAGAAATTTGAGTGGACTGATCGTTGTGAGAAGAGTTTCCAAGAGCTGAAAGATAGGTTGACATTTGCACCCATTTTAGCACTCCCAGAAGGCAAGGAAGGGTTTGTAATCTACACAGATGCATCGAAGATGGGACTTGGAGCAGTTCTTATGCAGAATGAACGAGTAATTGCTTTCGCGTCTCGGCAACTCAAGGACTATGAAGCAAATTATCCTACCCATGACTTGGAGTTGGCAACGGTGATACATGCGTTGAAGATTTGGAGACATTACTTGTATGGAGTCCAGTGCAAGATCTTCACTGATCATAAAAGTCTGATATACATATTCACACAGAAGGACCTCAATATGAGGCAAAGAAGGTGGCTTGAAGTAATGAAAGACTACGATTGTGAGATCCTTTATCATTCGGGGGAAGCCAACAAGGTAGCAGATGCACTTAGTAGGAAGTCTTCTGCAACATTAATGTTCATGATGGTAATGGATCCAAGGTTGAGGAAGGAAATTGAAGATTTTGAGTTGGAGATTGTAGGTGGGCGACTAACAGCTATGACAGTGACTCCATCAATATTTGAGGACATGGCTATGAAGCAAGAACTTGATCCCGAGTTAGTTAAGTTGAAGGAGTGCGTCAAGGAGGGAAAATGTCCAGAATTCCGTGTGGATGAGACTGGGAGATTATTACTCCAAAATAGGTTGTGCATCCCGGACATTGAGGGGTTGAGGAAACAGATTATGAAGGAGGCTCATGAGACACACCATTCACTATGCATCCTGGTTCGACCAAGATGTACCACGACCTGAAGAAAAACTTTTGGTGGTCAGGGATGAAGAAAGATGTTGCAAAGTTCGTTCAGTCATGTTTGACGTGTCAACAAGTTAAGATTGATCATCAAAGACCAGGTGGAGAACTTCAGCCTATCAAGATTCTGGAGTGGAAATGGGATGTGATATCAATGGACTTTATTATGGGTTTGCCGAAGACAACTGGAGGTTATGACGCTATATGGGTTATAGTGGACAAATTGACTAAGTCGGCTCATTTTATCCCAATTTTAGCAAGTATTTCTTTGGAGAAGTTGGCAAAAATATATATACATGAGATTGTTAGATTGCATGGTGTTCCGAAGAGTATTATTTCTGACAGAGATTCCAGATTTACGTCTCACTTTTGGAAGTGTCTACAACAATCATTGGACAAGAAGTTGAAGTTTAGTACCGCTTTTCATCCTTAGACATATGGCCAGACAGAGAGGACAAATCAAATTTTAGAGGATATGTTACGCGCATGCGCTCTAGATTTTCAAGGAGGATGTGCAAAATACCTTAGTCTGACAGAGTTTGCTTATAATAATAGTTATCAAGAAACTATCGACATGGCTCCATATGAGGCGTTGTATGGGAGAATGTGTAGATCTCCCATATCATGGTATGAAACATGAGAGAAGAAGGTTCTAGAAGAGGAATTACAAGGAAGGACTGAGTTGATAGATGAGACTTCAGAAGCTATTAAGACTATCTGACAAAGGATAGAGTCTGCCCAGTGCAGACAAAAAAGTTATGCAGATGTTCGAAGGAGACCTCTAGAATTCGAAGTGGGGGACTTTGTATTCGTTAAGATAGCTCCGATGAAGGGTGTGATGCGGTTTGGAAAGAGAGGAAAGCTTAGCCCCAGATTCACCGGACCATATGAGATCACTAGACGAGTTGGGAAGGTAGCTTATGAGTTCACGCTACCTGAAGAGTTTCTGGTATTCATAATGTCTTCCATGTTTCGATGTTGAGAAAATACTTTGCTGACCCGGAGCATGTTTTGATACCCCCAACAGTAGAAATGCAAAAAGATTTGTCATACGAGGAGAAGCCGGTACAAATTCTTGACCGTGAGGTTAGACGTCTCCGAAATAAGGAGATAGCTCTAGTCAAAGTGTTGTGCCAAAATAAAAAAGTTGAAGAAGCTAGCTGGGAGGTTGAGGATGGATGACATAAGACGTCGTTATCCCGAGTTGTTCTAAGTTTCGAGGACGAAACTTTTATAAGACTTTTATAAGGTGGGAGGGGTTGTAACACCCTGATTTTTATGAGCCAGTTATATTAATCAATATTATTAATTTTAGTATGTTAAATAAGTTTCAATTCTTCATGGTGACTGCAGCGTTGTATCAATTCTTCCATAGTATTCTTGCGACGGGGATCCACGAATAGTCAGTCTCTCGCTACGACTAACAACCGCCGACCGCCGTTGGCCTGCGGCTTGCTGGATCCTCGCATAGCCATCTTTTTTTCTTCTTTTTTTAGGAACACTTTCCAATTTATCCTCGCATCTTCGTCCATTCATGCAGATCGAAGCCCTCGATCAATTGCCGCTGATGAATCTAGCTGCGCCCTCTCGCCATCGTTTGCTTTTATCTCATTAGGGTTTTATAATAATAATATGGTAAGGCTATATTAGTCAATATTAATTATTAATTAATTTATTAATTTATTAACTAATTAATTATTACGAATTTTCATATTATAATGGGAAAAAAACTCACTTCATAGATTGGAAAAGTGGACCTAGGGTAATTATCTAAAAAATATACTGAAACCGGATGAGATGAAATCAATTCAGACTGCCGTATTTCAATTTCCTCACTGTCCAGATTTCACACGATATCTCCAAAAGTCCAACGCAGCTTCCATCGCTCCTCCGGTAGGTATGTTCTGCTCATTATTCAGCTGCATACGAAAAATGTATATTCCTCTTTGATTTTTCTGGATACTTTTTTCTTTGTGCAGAAGCCGTGGAATCATAAAGCATGGAAGCGACGGCTTCTCTTCGTTCTTCGGGTGCCATCTGCTGCGGATCAGGCAAGGCTGGTTTCCTTTCAGCCCATACGGCGCCAGAATCTTTTAGATTTGGATTCAGATCCCCTTTATCTTCACCTTGCATGAAGGTACGCTTATACCTGTTTTTCCTTGGAAGTAATTAAATTTATTTATCAATTTGTGTGATGATAACATTTGATACGGATGGATTATGGAGAACTCCATTAGAATATTGGTGAAGTTCTCTTGGGTTACTCCTTATTCATTTATCCTATGGATTACGGGGAAACTCTATTGAATCTGCCTTATTTGTTTTCAGTTCTTTTGAATACTAAAATTGAAGTTCTCTACCTTCCTAACAGAGTAAACTAGTAACCTTTTGGATATTTGTAATTGTATGGGAGCAGCTTTTTGTTTGTTTTCAGTTTGAACTTCTTTTGGAAGATGATTCTTGCTAATATTAATGCAACACTACTTCAGAATCTGTTCAGCCACACATGTTTTAGAATAGGTGGTGGTGACAGAAGGCTCCCCTCATTGTGAGGCTATAACTTAAAAGGATGATCATTGTATGGCATATTCTATTGCATACAGGGGCGGACCCAGGAAAGTCATATTGGGGGGGGGGGGGGGCGAAAATATTTTTTGGGGGGTTCAAAATATTTTTTCGGAGGGAGAAAATTATTTTTCATATATATATATACACTAAAAAAAATTCTTGTTGGTGGGGCGGTAACCCTCCTGGGTCTGTACTATGGTCCGCCCCAGATTGCATATGCAAAGAGGCTGTTCACATTCAGGCATACAGGTCTTCTTTAAATTGGAGTGTTTTTGAGGTGGTGTCTTGATTTTTACTTTAATTTCCACCTAATTGGTCCCTGCTTAGCAGCTGGTAGTGAGTGCAGAATTTCAGTTTGACTTTATAGTACGTGTTTAGGTTTTCAGCTTCCGACTCTATCAAACTTGTTGAATTGGAGAAGTGAGGAGTGAGGACTGATGAGACATTGTAGGAAACTTTTATATTTTGATGAGAATGGAAGGTCCCAAAAAGCCTAATTCAAGAACTTTTTTGTTTAAAAAATTTCTGGGTAAAAATCCAGTAAAGTTTAGTAGCAAGTGGGTGTAGTCGATTGATCCAAAGTCAAAACAATATAAAAAACAGCTGGGAAAACTATCAAATAAGCCCTTCTACTATACCAAAAACGGCAATTAAGTCCTTGTACTTACTCAATTAAACTCTTCAATTATAAAAAACACCTACTTCAGTAATTCAGCAAGTCACCTATAGGTTTTCCGGTCATCATCCACGTGGCACTCTTTTTTAATTTTCTTAATTCCATGTGGCACACTTCATATTTTTCATTTATTAAAAAAATGAAGCCATCCCCTTGATCATTCACCAAATCTCACAAGTTGCCAAAATCCATCATCTCTTACCTAGCAAGTTTAGCAAGTGGGTGTAGTCGATTGCTCCAAAGTCAAAACAATATAAAAAATAGCTGGGAAAACTATCAAATAAGCCGTCCTACTATACCAAAAACGGCAATTAAGTCCTTGTACGCACTCAATTAAACTCTTCAATTATAAAAAACACCTACATCAGTAATTCAGCAAGTCACCTATAGGTTTTCCGGTCATCATCCACGTGGCACTCTTTTTTAATTTTCTTAATTCCATGTGGCACACTTCATATTTTTCATTTAGTAAAAAAAATGAAGCCATCCCCTTGACCATTCACCAAATCTCACAAGTCGCCAAAATCCATCGTCTCTTACCTAGCAAGTTTAGCCTTCCCACAGGCCACAACCGGTGATTCGCATCTACTTCCTCCTGCATCATCACTTAATCAGGACGTGGTCGGCGAGATTTTCCGTGTTATCAGCGGAGGTTTAGAGCTCTTCTCAACCAAGCCTGTACAATACACCTCCCTGAAGGACATCCTTTCCCCCATCTTCATGCACAAACTCTGCCTTCACTTCTCACAGGTCTTCCGCCGCTGCCGCCGACATCAAGAATGCACCACCCATCCTTAACTCCGATTCTCTGACATCCTTAACTCCAGATTCACCGCTGTATGAGGGTCATCAAGTACAAATTTAATAGGAAAACAATTCAAAGCTCTCTCTGCAACCTTGTTCTGTTTTTAGTTGGATATACATAGAAGACACATACCCAGTTGAACAGTTTTATTTTATGTTCGCGTAAATTCTTGTTAGTTTGTTATTGGATTTCGATTGTGAAATATAAAAACTTCCCCAAAGTGCATGTTCTGAGTTTAATGGCGTATCCTTCAGATTTACCAGAGGTCCAGAGATATTTTCTTTGCTTATTGTTTCAATTTTTTACTTGTTCTGAATTTCTATGAGGCAATAGACATGTTCGAACATGGGAAGAAGCAAACGAAATGGGTTAGATGTGGGCTTTTATTAATAACAATACAGACAATTTTTTTAAGTGACACGTGTGCAGTCAGAGATGTGGTAACCGGGAGACGGGTTAGCAACCGTCTAAGTAGCTTAATTGGGTATCTTTTACAAGTTTGAGGGTTTGATTGAGCTATTTTGAAGTATGAGGGCTTAATTGCCGTTTTGGATATACTAGGAGGATATATTCGACAGTTTTCCCAAAATAGCTTTTGGGCATAATTGAGTATTCATTCATTCGTAACTTGTAAAGCTTGTATCTTGATTGAATTGACTTCAAATAAAAGATCGTAACCTTACTCCAACATGGCTCATTTTTGGGACGAATGGAGTATTTTCACAAGCTGAATTCGATGTTATAACGTTGGTAGTTTCTGTCTTTCTGAGGCTTAATTTTTTGGGGAACTACATTAATGAGTACCTGATTTTGTTGTTGAGTTCTGTTGAATGAATGGATTTGGGTACGAGCCGCGACACAAATGCACAATGGTAATGCTGCACATTCCAAGTTGTTAAATCGTGTGTTAGAATGTAGGGTAGTCCAGTCATACGTTTTGCACAGCTTTGGGATTGTTGGCTGGTCCTAGAATTGCTGGGCGTCAAGATTTTAGGCTTGTTGATTTGCCACGGAAAATCGAGGTCACTGATTTGTGGCAATTTGAAGAATATCTATTCCAAACTTCCAGGTCGGATCTTGTGGCCCAGATCAACAAAGCCCTCCTCCCCTGACATTTCTTAAGATCTTTTTCATTGCCAATTAGAAGCCCCAAACAAGAGACACCTTCACAAAACTCCCAAACTTCCAAGGAATCTAAGTCTAAACCAGAAACGTTGAGTTCAATGTTTCATCGCTCATACACGGCGGCAGCAACATTACCTGGCCCTGTGATGATGATTATTTCTTGGGACTACCGTGAGGTTACTGGGTCACTCAATTATTTCTCATTTTGCTTTCCTTGCTACTCTGCCTTCTCTAATGGGTATCAAAATATCCTTATAGATGGTTAGAGTCCTTATGTTTTTCCGTTTAATCATGGTCTTGTCTTTATTTGTGTATTTACGTATAAGATTTTATCACTTAAATATTAGGAATGAATTGGTTGTTATGTTTTGTGTTTCTTTTTGCAATTTATGAATATGCTACTTTGCTTATTAGTTTTTATGATACAGGTTTACGCTCACCTTATTTATATATGTACAATGACCCTCCATATCCTCGCAACATTCTTGCACCAGCATATGCCACTTTTAGATGAAAACACATAAACACACACTTTTGCATTCATAAGGGGAAGGCTGTAATTCCTAGTATTTTTAAAACATTAATTTTGTTGGCCAAGCAATTTCATTAATTATAAAATATTGTGTTTTTTCACAACAATAATATTCATCTATAATAGATACGTGATACACAGAATGTGGGATAATTGATTAATTGATGTTCATATTCTTGTTTGTTTGTTTGAGTTGTTGACCTGTTGTAGCTCTTTCCATTCACAATTTGTTCCATAAGTTTTATCTTATTCTAATTCAATTTGATTCGTCTGTCCAAATGTATTGAATTACTTAGATATTTAGTTTGAGAAAACTTTAAGCAACCCTATTCAAAAACATAAAAATACTAGTCATTCCAAGGTGCCGTCTAGGAACCCTATGCGTTCGGTGCTCCTTTCCCGTCTGCTTGGCGTTTGAGGCCATCTGTGACACTGGTTGAAATCATGCAAGGGGCGGACAGTGGGAGGGGCAGAGTGCAGAGAGAAAGAGATGCTAATTACATAGGCGGTAAGTTCTATTGAAAAGAATTATTTCTATTCATTTTTGTCAAGATGGCAGTCCAGTCACTTTGCTATTGAGTATTGATGGAGTAGTGAAGTGAATTAAGCATCTGGCAGCAAGGCCTAAGACCGTTTGTATAGTAGTTATTGTATCAGTCCCAGTACAATACAACATCATAGAAAAGATAGGTAACTTGTCTCCCTTAGTCATATGCTCAAACTTGACATGCTAGGCCTGTGTTGGCACTTCGTGCCCCATACACTAAGCAGCTAGACTGATGCCCACGTATGAGCCCAGGGGTGATCTCAGTGGGGGCTCTATAGTCTAGGTATACCATCAATTACTGTTATTTTTCTTTTCTTTGCTTTATACTGATGGCAACAAGGCCTAAGACTGTTTGTATAGGATGGAACCTATTTATCTCATAGTAGTAATAATAATAGTAGTAAAAAAAGAAGCATCTGTAAACTAATGTGTGCATCTCTTTCTAAGCATCTGTAAACTAATGCTGCGGTATGATGTATGTTGTACTGTATTTGTTGTCATCACTGCTTATACTAAAACCCACTCTCACTGGATTATTAATAATTTAGACAAAACCCTTCTTCATCAATTAGTGGCCTTTAGTTTGTTCCAACTCGCTCCTTACATCTGCAAGCCTTCTTGTTATTAAATGGTAGTGATCTTATTTAATATTCTTGAATGGCAGTTGTACCCCTTTGGTTCTCATCTGAAGTCTGGAAACCAGAGAGTGGCATATAAGAGTGGAAGATACAATTCAATTAGAGCATCATTACCACCTTCCAGATCTGGAGATTCAACTGTCCCTATTGCTCCACTTCAATTTGAATCTCCAGTTGGACAATTTCTCTCTCAGGTTATCATAAATCATCCACATCTTGTCCCTGCTGCAGTTGATCAGCAACTTCAACAGCTTATGATTGCTCAGGATGCACACAAGGATGAACCATCAGTGTCAGGAACTGAACTAGTTTTGTACAGGTAGTGTTTGAGAGTTAGATGCATTTCATTCTCACATCTTTTGCTAGGTTTCTAGGTAGAGCGGAAGTATGGCCTGGGCTCTATTATGAGATGTTTTTTTGTAAATTAGCTCAGAATCAAGACCCACATCTCAATGGTGTTTTTTCTGCTATTTAATTAGTGGGGGAATTGGAGTTCACACTCGAATCTTTCATATAAATCTGAGTTTGCACCCCATTTTTGAAACTATTAGTATCTCCACCCCAATTTTGAAGATTTTCACCTCATTTTCATTCTGAATAGGGATTTTCACTTCCCCTGTTCCCCATCTTTTACAGGGGACCTGGACTCATGTGATATAAATCTGAGTTTGCAAGCTACCTCACTTCAAGGTAGAGAGGAAGTACTACTGAAGTAGTATAATCATTTGTGCTCTATTTTTTATTCTGATTAGTGTTTTTAAAATTTAGTTGAGATTTTCATCAAGGGTCATCCGGAAACCGTCTCTCCGTGCTTTAGCAATTAGTACAGGGGTAAGACTGCTTACATCCGACCCCCCTTACCCCATCATAGGTGGGGAGTCTTTGCGGCACGGGGGTAATGTTGTAGTGGTAGTAGTAGTAGTGTTTTTAAAATTTAGTTGAGATTTTTAAGATCCACATTTCAACGGTGTTCTGTTTTTATTTTTAATATGAAATAATTGTTATTTTGAGAATTCCATGGCATTCTCACTTCTAGGTAGAGAGGAAGTATGGCCTGTTGGACCCTCTCTTTGTTTATCTAATGTTCTCAGAAGCATTTTTAAAATGTAGTTTCTTAAAAACATCATTGAGGTGTGGAGTTTAATTCTAATTTCTCACCAAAAACCTTAATGGTGTTTTCCCCTCATTAATAAATTCTTATTTAAAATTATTATTATTATTAGGAGAATTGCAGAGGTCAAGGCAAAGGAGAGGAGGAAAGCACTTGAAGAGATACTGTACGCAATGGTGGTGCAGAAATTCATGGATGGTGGTGTACCGTTGATTCCGGCCATAAATTTGCAATCATCACCAGATTCTTCCCCTGCTTGGGTTGTTGATGCGTGGCCTAGCAAAGATGAGCAGCTTTTACACCTTCATTCGCCCGATGCTTATGAGATGATTCAGAACCATCTAGCTCTCATCCTTGGGAACAAATTGGGTGGTAATAATGCCTCTGCAATTCAAATAAATATATTTAGAGTCGGTCAGGTTTACGCCGCATCTGTTATGTATGGCTACTTCTTGAAGAGGGTTGTCCAGAGATTTCAGTTGGAAAAGACTGTGAAGATCCTTCCCCAGAGAGGCGTAGGCGGAAGAGAGGCAAGTGGCAATCTGCAAGCTCCAGAGGAAGAAGTGCTCAGATCTGGTAATGATGAAAACAATGATGATGATGATGATGATGATGATGATGACGATGATGTTTCATTTAGCTCAACAGAATCATCATCTCATCCTGAAGTCGATAAAGCATTCTTTACATCTGGATTTAATGCCTCGAGGTTGAGATCATACGTGATGTCACTTGATGGGGAGATTCTCCAGGCATACGCAAGCATTAGGTCCAAAGAAGCCATACGAATAATTGAGAAACACACTGAAGCACTGTTTGGTAGACCTGAGGTTGCTATTACCCGTCAGGGAACCATAGAATTTTCTAAAGAAGAAATGGTCATGATTAGGTTCAGTGGTCTGAAGAGGCTTATTTTGGAGGCACTGACTTTTGGGTCTTTCCTTTGGGATGTTGAGAGCTATGTTGATTTAAGGCACCATTTTGTTACCCACCACTGATATAGATAGATCATATTTACGTCATATTACTTGACAGTGATTACTGTTTTTATTTGCGCACATGCTTTTATCACATAGGTGATTGGATATCGTGTCCTATTTGTACATAGATTTATCGCGTGTTTTGACCGTGTAATAATCAGATACTGTGTTTGCTGGCCTTTGAATCTTTGATTGTCACGAATGCAAAATTACATGGACGAATAATCTTGGATTGGTTTTACTCCCAAACCAAATCATATCAAACATAAATAACAGTAACATGTATAAACACTGGATGTCTATTCATCTATGGCTAGACTATAAATCAATGTATTTCTATCAGATTTGTAGTCAATAGCTTTCTCTGTGTATTTTGGATTGAAATTACTATGTTGGGGACTTAATATGAGTCCTAATTTAGAAATAAAGCATATGTGACTATGTGAGTCTATTTTAAGAAACTTTCGTGTTTTAATTAGCCTTTTATAAATTGAGTAATTTTCAATTATTTGTCACAAAAAAATCTTGTTTTTTGGCTGTAAAAAAAATCTTGTTAAAAACAAAAGTAAATTAGATAGAATAATAAAAACCAAGATAAAATATTTGTTACTTATTTAATCAATTTCTTCACACATTACTAAAACAAAGCATACATTTAAGGAATTGAAATAGAGAGTCATGATACAAGTTGCTACAACATTATTGGAATCATAAAAATGACGGAATGAGGAGATGTTGCATTTTTTAAATCGCAACTAATTGTTGAATGTTGATGGGATAAGCAAAATCTCTGGAAGTTGAACTGTAGGCCTTCTGGGCTAGGAGAATATTTGCAACTTCTGTGGGATGAAAAGCATCCCAAAAGATGTACTTTGATCTATCATCACAAGGTAGTTGAAGAGGAAGACATGTTATTTGGCCATTGTTCCTCCCCACCCCACAACATCCTTTATCCACCACTTCAAATCCTGTTCCCATCAAAATCAGACAGATAATTATGTTTTCTAAAATATTTTTTACAATATTTTAGAATGTATATGATTTGGTTGTTGAAGTCTGCTGTGTGGTCTGTGACTGGAATAAGTCCAAGTAAAAGCATCATAGAAGGCATGTCATCATCGAGTACTCGAAGAAATTGGTTGCAACTTATTAGTACATACCATATGTTTTTGCATTGACAACAAGGTCCTTGGTGCTTGCAAATGAATCCAAGTAAACAAACTTGGATCCAGGCAAATAGCCTCTATTGAACTTATCTACAAGCCTCTTGAGCCCAGAGTTGAACATGGAAATGGCATTGTTAATTTCTTCATTGCATCTGTTAATGCCATTCCCATTGTACCTCGCTAGCTCATATGGTATGCATCCGATTTGTCCAATAGACGTCACGATTATCTTTCGAGCCCCATATGAATATATCTCCTGCATGTACCATGACGTACACTCAAAAAACTAATATGAAATTGAATAAGAGTAAAAACATTTGTGAATTTTAAAATAGTACTGTTTTTATTTCCCAAATAAGAATAATTACTGCCATATTTTGACATTACCGGAGTTTAAACATGACAGTATTATCCAAGTTCACGATTATTACTCATGTTTAGGGAATAAAAACATATTGCTCCGATCCAGCCTCTTTTTTAATCTCAAAAATGTTTTTACTCCTATTTCGGGATTTTCTCAAGTTATGTGGGTGATACCGACCGTTAATTGTCGTGAATAGTCATTGAGAAGGGATGCAGCATAAGCTTGAGGGGTGAATTCAGAATGAGTTGAATAGAAATCAGTCATGAAATAGTTGTTGAGGTAGTCATTACTTCCCATTCCAGAGTAGAAAATGCATTTGCTTAGATGGTCATGAAGTAGTGTGTAGTTATCATCTCCTCTGAAAAATTTCCTCATCCCCAGTACTGTTCTTGCGAAGTTCTCTACTTGTTGGTTCATTGCTATATGATATCCCTATATAATCAGTTACATATACACACACAAATAAGCTAAGGATGAATTTCTTGCTTGTACAAGAACTAGTTGGAGAATTTTATGTAAATGTTGGAGAATTTTAAATTAGCTTTTAAGTATGTGAAATTTAATCATTAATAAGTTTTTAAGTATTAATGTTGAAGTATTTTCCCCGGTTTAAAATCAAATATTAAAATAATACTCCGTATTTAAGATTATGTAGGTGATACTTCTCATATTCTAATTAGTGTAGTATAATCAGCCAAAAATTTCAAAGATTATCAATACCAGATGTATTTGTGTTAAGAGACAAAATATTAAAAGTACCAATAGCAGATATAAATATGTACAGGTATATGCATTACAAAACAAATCATGATTAGCTTTGTTAATTGATTATAAAGTTTGTATTAAATATATTAGATTAATTTTGTGTGTTTTTTTTTAATTTTGTGTTATATGTAAAATTAAAATATACAAAGTTCCATATATTAATAAGGAATTATATTGTGTAATGTGTGGTACCAAATTATTTCCAGTTTCATCCCGAATGCCTGCAGCGCCAGAAGCAAAATTAACACCTCGAATAAATTCCCGCCGTCGTGCTCTTGAGAAAGCTGGAATGTAATTTTGAAACCCTAGCAGTTGAGCTGCACAATATTCATGCAACAAATATAAAATCAGCAGGCTAGGGCTTTCACTTTTTCACATTACTATTTGAAGGTCATATATTACTTCCGTCCCAAAATGATGGTCCTGTATTTCCTTTTTGGGATGTCCCAAAATGATTGTTCCGTTTCCCTTTTTGGAAAGAAAGATGTGATCCATATCATTTCACTTTATTATACTCAAATCTCAACCACAACTTTTACCTTTTCAACCGCTTTATTAAAACTTGTGTCCAAAAGAAATGAGACCATCAAATTGGGACGGAGAGTATATATAACCGCCATCGTATACATTTAATTATATGACGAATTTGCCCCAAATCTTAACATGGTATCAAAGCCAAATCGATCCATGGTGTGGGCTCCCTTATGAAAAATGATTGACACGATTATAAAAAATGACAATGACGAATCGACGAAAAAAATGAATGACAGCACGATCCAGACGAAGAGTTTGATTGTGAGAAGGGGTGTTAGAATCCTATATTACTTTCAAAAAGATGGAACTCCAGGTCTTAACAATTATTCAAAAATTTACATTACTTTATAATACTACATACAAAATTAATTACTTTCATATAATTCTTTGCCGTACGTAGTAACACGACGTATTATTCAAATGTTAATTTCCTAGTATAGATTTATAGATATTTAGGTCCAAACTTCCACCTAAAAACCCGTAAAAATCAAACTGAGAATTTAATTGTGAGAATATATTCATTTCATTTTCATTTACCCCAGTGCCGCAAAGGCTCCCACCTACGGTGGGGTAAGGGGGGGGGGGTCGGATGTATGCAGTCTTACCCGTGAAAATCGCATCCAAAATTGCATGGACTGACGGCTGCTCCATAATAAAGAAGCGCGGACAGTTTAATGAGCCATTTTGCTTTATTCCATCATATTACAAAGACAAAATTTTCAATATCCCCCGAAGCACTGACTATAAGTTACGTAGTACTTCCTCCGTTCTTTTTTAGTTGCAACATTCTCTTTTTCACGCTTGCCAATACACAATTTTAACCGTCATTATATTTAATTCTCTATTAGTAAAGAACTTATAAAAATCAATTTATGAAACATCGTAATGAGACGAATTCGATCAAAAATATTTTTCAAAAAAAATAATTCACATACATTAATAAATAAAATGTAATCAAAGTAGAGTACATGAATAATGCATGTGTAAATTCCAATGTTGGAACTTATTATTATGATATGGATGATAGTATGTTCTAATAATCATATATATTCAATTAGCAGAAAAATATAATAATAGGTACATATATGTATAGTATACCTAGAATATCAACGAAAGTACGGCCATTAGTGAAGCGGCCAGTAGAACCGTCGGGAAAGTCAACACCATAAGGCAAGTAGTTTGACCTTGCGAGAGTGAGGAGGCCATTGTTGTTACCGCTGTCAACCAGTGAGTCCCCAAATATGAAAAAGCACGGCGGCGGCGTCACCTGTGGCGGTGGCCGGCGTTGATGAGACCAAGCGGAGACGCCCACTCTTTTAGTAGTAGCACACCACAAGAAGAACGGCACCCATAATGATTTCGCCCAATTCTCCATATTTAGCGGCGTATGCATGGAAAATATACAAAAGATTAACTAATTAATTAAAATTAAAGTAATTAGTGCACAAATTAGTCGAGAATATAATTCCCGGTTTCTTTTATAATGCAAAACTTGGGGTGTTAGTACGTAGTAATTATGGAGTTCATGTGCATATATGTACAACCAGCTAGCTTATACGGAGTACGTAAGTTGGTTAGGTGCGTTATTTAGCGGTGACTTAAGGCATGCAAGCGCATCACGTGAACCTTCAAGGGTGACGTGTCTCCATATATCCTGAGTACGTATACTGTACACCCGGCTATACGATGCACACCGTACAATCATGTATTCTATCTTACACCTAACGAGTATAACGCTAGAAGGAATGAGCATTAGTATTAAACCACTGTTAGGTTTCCGTAGCATAATTGAGTATAAAAGTGTACAAGGAGTATTATATATGATCTACATGTGATATATATATATATATATATATATATATATATATATATATATATATATATATATATATTGTTGGGATATATCATCCCGGCCTATTACTGTTCAGGAGCCCAAGACTTTAGTGTTGAGGTTTATTCGCCGCAGTCCGGAAGTTCAACACCCCTTCCAGGAGGGTTTCGTGGCTATGTCGTGATAATAAAATGTGAACGATGATTTTTACGTGGAAACCCGGAAAGGGAGAAAACCACGGGACTGTTTAGGCTAATGTTCAAGCCCTCTCCTTTTATTAATACTCTCCTCCCCATTACATAATACAATATTGAAGCTCCATAAATGGAGTATAAAACTAGCTAGGGGGAAGGGGGAAGAAAAGAGGATCCCTTTCTATGGAGGCAAGGCTCCTATTTATAGGGGAGAGGGGAGGAGACATTCCAACCTAATGGGCCCCTTGGGCCTAGGCGGGCCGAATGGCAGAAATGGGCCCAAAGGCCGAAACATGACTGATAGGCTAAAACGGGACTTACTGATTGGGCTCCGTACTACGTAATGTCTTGGGCTCCTGAGCAGTAATAGGCCGAGATGATATATCCCAACACAAGTCCCCCAGTTTCTTGAGTAGTGAACGTGCGAATCTGCTTGAGAAAATATACTCTTGCCTGCGCTCTTCCTCTATCTTCCTTGATCCCGAGTCTTCGAGCAATCCTACTGCATGGGTGGATGTCTACCCCTCTGAACATAATCTACCGGTAAGGCGCTCCCCTCCCGACGGGGTCGGGCAAGGGATGCTCTTTCCCGGACACTCTCCCTCTGAATGTATCAGATGGGAATAGAGGACTCTGACTCGAGCATTCCAATGGAGAAGCTTAGAGGTCCCTGCACAATATAAGCTGTCGACACGGAGACTGGCTTGGTGTGATGTGTATGTATGTATGGATGTATGAGAGATGATGCATGAATGCATGAATGCATGTAATGTATGGGTGCAATGCATAAGAGAGGGCATGTAAGATGTGACACAAGGCGGTGAATGTCATCGGTAAACCGAGCACGGCGGCGCTGAGGGGCCGAGCATGCTGCATAAGATGTTCGTTGCCACGGTATGGTCTTACTTTGCCAATGTATGGTCTTACTTTGCCATGGTGTGGTCTTACGTCGAACAAGAACCGGACACGAATGGCGCTGATGGGTCGTTCGTGCTGCATAAGACGTTCGTCGCCACCCCGGAAGGTATGGCCGAGCTAAACATGAACTAGACACGATGGCGCTGAGGGGCCGATCGTGCTGCATAAGACGGTGGTCGCCATCCTGGAAGGAATGTACGAGCCGACTGTGAACTAGACGCGATGGCGCTGAGGGGCTGATCGTGCTGCATAAGAGGGTGGTTGCCTTCCTGGAAGGGATGTACGAGCCGACCGTGAACTAGACACGATGGCGCTGAGGGGCCGATCGTGTTGCATAAGAGGGTGGTCGCCATCCTGGAAGGGATGTACGAGCCGACCGTGAACTAGACACAATGGCGCTGAGGCGCCGATCGTGCTGCATAAGAGGGTGGTCGCCATCCTGGAAGGGATGTACGAGCTGACCGTGAACTAGACACGATGGCGCTGAGGGGCCGATCGTACTGCATAAGACGGTGGTCCCCATCCTGGAAGGAATGGGTGAGCCGACCGTGAACTGGATACGATGGCGCTGAGGGGCTGATCGTATTGCATAAGACGGTGGTCCCCATCCTGGAAGGAATGGGTGAGCCGACCGTGAACTGGATACGATGGCGCTGAGGGGCCGATCGCACTGCATAAGACGGTGGTCCCCATCCTGGAAGGAATGGGTGAACCGACCGTGAACTGGATACGATGGCGCTGAGGGGTCGATCGTACTGCATAAGAAGGTGGTCCTCATCCTGGAAGGAATGGGTGAGCCGACCGTGAACTATATACAATGGCACTGATGGGCTGATTGTACTGCATAAGACGGTGGTCCCCATCCTGGAAGGAATGGGTGAGCCGACCGTGAACTGGATACAATGGCGCTGAGGGGCCGATCGTACCGCATAAGACAGTGGTCCCCATCTGCTTATCGTAACTGCCTATTCTCTCTCTCTTTTTGGGTCTTCAAGGGTGGGGATGCTCGTCTCCAGGCCCTCGGCCTCTAGAGTGGAAATGCTCGTCTCCAGGCCCTCGGGTCATCTGGAATGGAAATGCTCGTCTCCAGGCCCTCGGCCTCTGGAGTGGAAATGCTCGTCTCCAGGCCCTTGGGCCCTCTGGAATGGAAATGCTCGTCTTCAGGCTCTCGGCCTCTGGAGTGGAAATGCTCGTCTCCCGGCCCTCGGGTCCCCTAGAATGGAAATGAGTGTCTCCAGGCCCTCGGCCTCTGGAGTGGAAATGCTCGTCTCCAGGCCCTCGGCCTCTGGAGTGGAAATGCTTGTCTCCAGGCCCTTGGGTCCTCTGGAGTGGTCCTCATCTGCTCTTCGTATTTGCCCGTTAGCCCGGTCCTTTGGATCTTGGGCTGAGCTAAGTCCTCGTACTTTGCGTGGAACGGTTTCATCCCTTTGGGAATTCTTGTCTTTTCGGTTCACCATCCGCTCGTCTTACCTGCCCATTTGGCTCGGTCCTTTGGATCCTGAGCTGGGCTCGACCGTGATTGTGATGGGAAACGGGTTTATCCCCTTTGGGGATTCCCTAGTGCCCCTCTGAGGGGTCTTAACTTTGTTCCGTCATCCGCTCGTCTTACCTTCCCATTTGGCCCGGTCCTTTGGATCCTGGGCTGGGCTCGGCCGCGATTGTGATGCGGAACGGGTTTATATCCTTTGGAGATTCTCCGTTTCTTCGTTCTGTCATCCGCTCGTCTTACCTGTCCATTTGGCCAGGTCCTTTGGATTCTGGGCTGGGCTCGGCCGCGATTGTGATGCAGAACGGGTTTATCTCCTTTGGAGATTCCCCGTTGCTCCTCTATTTTTTTGAGGAGTCTTAACTTCGTCCCGTCATCCGCTCGTCTTACCTGCCCATTTGGCCCGGTCCTTTGGGTCCTGGGCTGGGCTCGGCCGCGATTGTGATGCGGAACGGGTTTATATCCTTTGGAGATTCTTCGTTTCTTCGTTCCGTCATCCGCTCGTCTTACCTGCCCATTTGGCCAGGTCCTTTGGATTCTGGGCTGGGCTCGACCGTGATTGTGATGCAGAACGGGTTTATCTCCTTTGGAGATTCCCCGTTGCTCCTCTATTTTTTTAGGAGTCTTAACTTTGTTCCGTCATCCGCTCGTCTTACCTGCCCATTTGGCCCGGTCCTTTGGATCCTGGGCTGGGCTCGGCCGCGATTGTGATGCGGAACGGGTTTATCTCCTTTGGAGATTGATATGCACTAATTTGTAGTGCATAAATGTATGTTTTTATGTTGATTGGGTGTGGATTTTCCATCGCTTTTAGTTAGTTTGTAAGTACTTGTTTTATTTTGTTTGTAATTGCTTTCTCCGTCTTTTCATAGTTATAGAATTGTGATAGAGTTTGTAGCAAGGAAAAGGGGAGAAAAACTGAAGACAAAAAGACTCAGGAGCACAAAAACCCGACTAGGTCAGACCTTGAACCCGGTCGGGTCAGTTGAAGAACAGATCTAAGAAGAAAAAGTAAGACCCGGTCGGGTCCCTTACCCGACCCGGTCGGGTCAGATATGACCCGGAACACCAGAACATGCTGAAGATCACAAAGATTTGGAAAAAATATGATTTAGACAAAACCCGGTCGGGTCCCTCACTTGACCCGGTCGGGTCTGACTTGACCCGGGACAAATTAACGTGCTGGAACAATGAAACGTGGGAGATTATTTGATCTTGACCGGTACCCGGTCGGGTATGTACCTATACCCGGTCGGGTACCCGGCCAAAGGTGTTGAAAAACACCTATAAATAGCACTCTTTTTCTCCTCTAAAAAACAATCCCTTCTTCCAATCTCTTTAGCTCAGTTTAGAATAGCATTTCTTTATATTTTTCTAGCTATGTTTAGTCTCCAAACGAGGAGCTAAACTTCCATTCTTGGTGTTGCTCTTGAAGCTTGTTGATTATTAAAGTTGTGAGTTATTTTCTTAACTTCTTTCCTTGAATATTAATTAATAGTTCTTTCCTTAATACCATCTCTATATTGATGTTGAGGAGTGTTGCTAAGATGACAATTAGTTAACATCTCGACATTAGTTAGAATGATATTTTCTTCCTCTATATTAATATTGGGGAGTGTTGCTAAGATGACAATTAGTTAACATCTTGATATTAATTATAGTAGGATTCATCTTCTTTAATAATATTCTTCCTTGAATATTAATTAATCCCTACTCATATTTCATATTAATATTTTGATACATTACTTAAAGGATCAACTAGTTTTGTTTCATATATTAGTTATTACTAGAAACGATCAACGAACCGATGGTTAATCGTTGATGGTTTCAAAAGTAAGTAACTTCGGTTTATTAATGCACGGTCGTGGTTAATAAACTTAAGAGGGATTAATTTTGTTGGTTAAACCGAAACCGCTTGTGTAGAGGTTATCAATCTCAATTGATTTCATCAAGGAGTTGGAAAGATTAAATGCTACTATTAAATCGGTATAAGGCGTTGTTCTATATTTGATTAATAGTAAGGGTTATTAAT